TAATATTGCCCCAGAGGTCTCTTAGGCTGTCTTCATTTCTTTTGATTATTTTTTCTTTATTCTGTTCCACAGCAGAGAATTCCACCATTCTGTCTTCCAGGTCACTTATCCGTTCTTCTGCCTCAGTTATTCTGCTATTGATTCCTTCTAGTGTAGTTTTCATTTCAGTTATTGTACTGTTCATCTGTTTGTTCTTTAACTCTTCTAGTTCTTTGTCAAACATTTCTTGCATCTTCTCGATCTTTGCCTCCATTCTTTTTCCAAGGTCCTGGATCATCTTCACTATCATTATTCTGAATTCTCTTTCTGGAAGGTTGCCTATCTTCACTTCATTTAGTTGTTTTTCTGGGGTTTTATCTTGTTCCTTCATCTGGTACACAGCCCTCTGCCTTTTCATCTTGTCTTTCTGTGAATGTGGTTTTTATTCCACAGGCTGCAGGATTGTAGTTCTTGCTTCTGCTGTCTGCCCTCTGGTGGATGTGGCTATCTAAGAGGCTTGTGCAAGTTTCCTGATGGGAGGGAGTGGTCGTGGGTAGAGCTGACTGTTGCTGTGGTGGGCAGAGCTCAGTAAAACTTTAAGCCGCTTGACTGTTCATGGGTGGGGCTGGGTTCCCTCCCTGTTGGTTGTTTGGCCCGAGGTAACCCAACACTGGAGCCTACCTGGTCTCTTTGCTGGGGTAATGGCAGACTCTGGGAGGGCTCACGCCAAGGAGTACTTCCCAGAACTTCTGCTGCCAGTGTCCTTGTCCCCACGGTGAGCCACAGCCACTGCCCACCTCTGCAGGAGACCCTCTAACACTAGCAGGTAGGTCTGATTCAGTCTCCCCTGGGATCACTGCTCCTTCCCCTGGGTCCCGATGCACACACTACTTTGTGTGTGCCCTCCAAGAGTGGAGTCTCTGTTTCCCCCAGTCCAGCCAAAGTTCTGCAATCAAATCTCACTAGGCTTCAAAGGCTGATTCTCTAGGAATTCCTCCTCCTGTTGCTGGACGCACAGGTTGGGAAGCCTCACGTGGGGCTCAGAACCTTCACTCCAGTGGGTGGACTTCTGTGGTATAAGTGTTCTCCAGTCTGTGAGTCACTCACCCAGCAGTTACGGGATTTGATTTTACTGTGATTGCGCCCCTCCTACCGTCTCTTTGTGGCTTCTTCTTTGTCTTTGGATGTGGGGTATCTTTTTTGGTGAGTTCCAGTGTCCTCCTCTCGATGATTGTCCAGCAGCTAGTTGTGATTCTGGTGTTCTCGCAAGAGGGAGTGAGAGCACGTCGTTCTACTCCGCCATCTTGGCTCCAATCCTAGCCTCCTGCATTCTTAATGTTCTCAAATTTACAGACCTAGAGCAGAGGAAATAAATAAATAAAAATATCCAGATATTGTTGATTCTTCTTTGATTAAAGTTAATTCCAGATTATAGCAGAGGTGCCCTATATGTCAATAACAGGAAACTTGGGCAGATGAAATGTTGACACAGACATTTTAAGATTATAATACATTAAGCTGATCAGGCAGCTTATTGGAGAGATTAAGATCAAAGACAGACTCTATTAACCAATCAGATGTTTTGAGGACAGCTATAAATGTAAACATTAGCCAGGTTGGGGCAAAGGTCCCTTCTTGACAGATTTATGTTTCTTATCATGATGAAATTTCTGCCTAGTGTGCATTTAAGAAGTTCACCAGTTACATCATTTTTTTTTAAGATTTTTTTTTTGATATGGACCATTTTTAAAGTCTCTATTGAATTTGTTACGATATCGCTTCTGGTTTTTTTTTGTTTTTTCTTTTGTCTTGGTTTTCTGGCCACAAGGCATGTGGGATCTTAGCTCCCCGACCAGGGATTGAACCCACACCCCCTGCAATGGAAGGTGAAGTCTTAATCACTGGACTGCCAGAGAAGTCCCCACCAGTTATATCTTGATTTTTAACTACAATAGTTTATTGTTATATTATCCTTAATTCTGAAACAATGCTGCTTGTTTTACTTGTTTGTTTTAAGAAATTGTATTTCCTCATTGTTACAGGAAGTTCAGTTTGAATTAACTCATCAAACTGTAACTGATCTTATTGTAATTAATTCAACAAGTATAAAGGACTCTCCATATTCTCTTGGAGTTAGGAAAAATACATCTATTTTCTTCCTTTCATGGGCTATGATTGTAAAATAAATCATGATTTTTATCAGAATCTTCCTTTCCTGGTATTTATCTTGAAAAAAATATCAACCTACACAAAAGTAGAATGAACCTCCATGTACCCATTATCCAGATTCAATAATCATCAAGAAGTTGCCACAGTTTAGCACACTTTAAAATCCAAGCACAAATTTAGTTTTATGTTTAACAGTGCAAATCAGTCCCTTGAAGCAGCTGCCTCTCAGGTCCAAGGGCACTGACACCTCAGGCATCTACCTCCGTGCAGAGACAGAGCTATTCTCTCCCCAGGGCACACCTCAGGGTATTTCTACTTCTAATTTTAATTTTTCTTAATTTTTATGCTTCATTGGTTATGTGGGTTTTTTAAAATTATTATTACACATATAGTATGTACACACTGTAATCCATCATACACTACATGGAGTTATTATTTATTCTTTAAGTTCCCAGTCTCTTCTTACCTCTGAGGTTACTGCTGTTCATATGAACAGGTTGATTTGTATCATTCAATGCTTTTCTGCATATCCACACCATTATGTGCAAATACATGGTATCAGTTATTAAGCCCTTGTCTCTCAGCTCCAACCTCCCTCTGTGTTTTGTGATGCTGGGATTGTGACTCTGCAAACCACATTTCTCCTTTACTCCCTAGCTTCCTGTCAGGATCCTTGTTTCCTTCCGGTTTGCTAATGGACCCCATGAGAATCACTTGACCACTACTCTTCAGTCCTGCAGCTGCAGCCATGGCCCCAGACAGTAGCTGAATACAACTTATAGTTTTTCCAACAACTGCAGAACCAGAGTCATCACACTTCCTAACCTAGAGTTCTCCAAGTTCTCTTTCAGTTATCTGGTTAGCAAATTGGTACCGAGTTCACCATTATTTTATATTTAATCATATATAAAATCGTATAATCATATATAAAACTATATTATTTCTCTCTTCTGACAACTAGACCCTGACTGACACAGAAATATACATATGTTGGAATTTTTTTCTTCTCCTTATTTCTGTATGGTTTATAATAAATGGGATAATCCATGCCCATTTCTTTGCAGCTTCCATTTTTCACTTAATGTTTCATGGACATCTTTCCAGATCAACATATGTGTAACTCTAAGTAAGTCTTCTCAATAGCTGCATAATATTCCATTATATGGACAGAATGTAATCTATTCAACCATTCACCTTTTGATGGATGTACAAGTCCTGATTTCTGCTATTACCAAAAATTGCTAAAATAAACATCCTTGTTCATATATCCCTTTACACTAATACATTTGTTTCTAGTAAAAAATTACTGAACGTGGGATTGCAGTGTCATTGAATAACAGTGACATCGCCATGTACCGAAACAAATTGGCCATACTCTTCAGTATATCACACACTATCTGTTTTATATTTTCCTCTGTTACTGCTATTCCCATTTCCTTTTCTTTTCTATAAGCCCACATTCTAGTGTCCTTTCCACGGCCACCTTATACCTAACAAAAATTTCCTGATTGTTTTAAAAATATCCTTTTACAGTTGGTTTATTTGAATCAGAATCCAAACAAGGTCTACAGCATTGTATTTTGTTTGTTCTGTCTCTTGATTCCCTCAGTTTATAAAAGTGCCCTCTCACCTTCTCAACTACCCCTTCCTGCCCTGCCATGCCATTTATTTGTTGAAATAAATGATTGTTTGTCCTACAGAATATTCCAGACTCTGGACTTGGTTGATTGTTAAGTATTGCTTAACTTGTTCTTCTTTTCTCATTTTTTGTAGATTGAAAGTTAAAGCCTTGATTATATTTAAGCTCAATTTTTTTGTGTGGAGGATCCCTCATAGGTGGTGAGGTGTACTTCATATTACATGATTGTCCTTAACGTCAAGTTGTTCCACTCACTATGACACTGAGATTGGTGCATGAATTCAAGTATTGTCAGCCTGATCCATTCATTATAAAGTTCGCCATCAGCCTTTCACCTAATAGTTTTAGCAGCCATTAATGAACATTCCTTAGAGCCACTGTCTCATTAGGGTTTACAAAAATGGTGACTTTCTTATTCTATCATTCCTTCTGCATTTATTAACTAAAATTCCTCAACTAAGAATCTTCCTTTATCAACTATTTAGTGACTCTAAAACACAGTGCAAATAGAAAAGAGAGGCTGGTACCTTTTCTTAAGCAGTAGATTTAACTTGTCCAATACTTCCTATGATATTGGTATTTGGAGTTTTTTTAACTTTTAGTTATTTATATATTGCTAGAAAAAATTCCTTCCCTCTAGATTTTCAGTTTATTACCATGGAGTGCACAAAATATTCTTGTATAACTCTTCTGACTTCTACCATATCTCCTTTTTCAAACTTTAAAGTGGTATGTGTATACATATGTATGTGTATATATGGGTGTGTGTGTGTGTGCATCTGTGTTTGTATTTTAATCTATCTTTACAAAGAGCCAGTTTAGGTTTATATGTATTTTTGGTGACCCCAGAAGTTATTTTCCCTTCTATAGGTCACTTCCTAAGTGATTCCAAGTACTCACATTTGTTTCACATTTGGAGCTAGTCTGGAGGGTGGGTAGGGAATTTCTTAGGTAATTTATAGTTCCAAATTACCTTTCTGGTTCGTTTCCTCTGCACAGATTCAACTTCTAGTACATAATTTTACTATCCAGAGCCAAATTAGAAATCATCAGGAAAAAATTCCTCTGCTTTTTAGCTCTCGTCAACAAATTTATTTGCAGTCTTGCCTTTTTTTTCTTTTTTTCAGGTTTTCAAAGAGGTTTACTACCAACGGGAGGAGCAGCCTGCCTGTGAGGCTGGCGGCCCGCGGTGGGCCCGTGCGAGGCCTCCCGCTCAGGTGCTGCTCCGCGTGGGGCTCTTCCCCGGCCTGCCCCGCTTGGGCAGCCTGGTGGCGCTGGGTTGGCGGGGCATCCTCTGGCTGGATCCTTCCCGGGCACCGCGTTCTGGCAGCGCCGGGCCTCCGCCGGCCGAGGGCACCTCTGCCTTTGTTTCTCCCTCGGGTCTCAGGCACGCCGGGCGTGGCCAGGGGCGCGGCCGCGGGGTCCTGGGGCTCGCTCGCCAGCCTCTGCCCGGCGCACATGCACTGAGCATCTGGAAGACGGCGAGGGGCACCACGTTCAGCTTCAGCAGGTCCACCAGGATCTTGCACACGTCGGGGTCCATGGCGCCGCCCGCCTCCTGCGCCAGCTTGAACAGCTCCATCTCCTCGGCGCCCAGCACCTTCTCCCGCCGCAGCGCCATCTTCTGCAGGCCCGCCTCCAGCCCCGGGGGCGCGCCCCGCCCGGGCCCCGCGCCCGCGCCCGCGCCCGCGCTCGCGCCCGCGCCCGCGCTCGCGCCGCCATCTGAGGACGGCGGAGGATGCGTGTCCGCATTCTTGGCTTCTTTAAAAAACCCTATTCCCATTCCCTCTCACCACAGTGAAAGTTGGTAATTATTCAACTAGGCATTGCATCTATCCCTCCCACATTCCTACACACCTTGGGTCATTAATGAATGATTCTCAATTATCATTAAATTCTATCAACTAACTTCCTTCAGTCTGTCAACAGGCTTAAGTCTCTCCCATCTTAGTCGAACAGACACCTCCCTTTATCCTATGTTCCCTTCTAGTTACCTCTGTATGTCTTTTCTTCTCATTACAGCCAGCCCACTGAAAACATAATCTATTGTTTCCACTTATAATCTTTCCTCCACCCCCATTACTTCCCCAAATCTCCTCTTGCCAAAGTCAGCAGTGGTTTCTTCCTTGCTAAAAAGCAGTGCACTCACCACAGCATCTGATGCTCTTGACCTCCTTGAAATGCTTTCCTTTCTCCACTTTCTTGGACCCCACCCTCACACTTTTCCTGATTATTCTTCTACTTTCCTGGCCATTCCTTCTTAGCCTCCTCTGCAGATTCCTCTTCCTTTCTGGAATAGAGAAGTCCTTCAGATGTCAGACTTCCCACTGTCCTTAGCCTTCTATTCCCACTTACCCTGGAAGAAAATGGCACCAATTAACCTTTACCGGGAGATGGCTTCCAGAGTTGAACTCTGGTCCAAAACATTCTGATAAGGTCTTCTGTGTCCACACTGGACTTGCCTAGATGTCCTAGAGGCACCACAAAGGCAAAATGTCCAAATCTGAACTCATAATTTTTCCTCAAAACTTGTGTTTCCTCCCATCCTTCCCTCTTGATAAATGGTACTGCCATCTATCCAGTTATCCATGCCAGAGATCTGATGTGATGGCATGAGATAATATGATTACAAAACAGAAAAGCCACTCGATATTGCAAGTAAAAAGAAGATTTATCATATGCTTAAGGATAATTTCATGGAAGGCATTTATAAGAATTATAATCAGGTCTCAAAGGAATCTCCTCAAAATCTCTATCTCCCAAGTTCACTTGAATTTTTTTTTTAAGTTTTTATGTTTTTTGGCTTTCATCTGTTTCCTCCCTCTGTGAACTAGATTTTTCTGCTAATATGTGACTCACTAAGACTAACATCAGGGCTTCCCTGGTGGCGCAGTGGTTGGGAGTCCGCCTGCCGATGCAGGGGACGTGGGATCGTGCCCCGGTCCGGGAGGATCCCACGTGCCGCGGAGCGGCTGGGCCCATGGGCCACAGCCGATGAACCTGCGCGTCCGGAGCCTATGCTCCACAGTGGGAGGGGCCACAGCGGTGAGAGGGCCCGTGTACTGCAAAAAAAAAAAAAAAAGACACCAATCCAGCATGACCTTTCAGGGAAAGCTCACAACAGCATTTCCCTTTTCATACCAGGAGAGAGTCAGATTGCCCCAACCTACCCAACTCAAGTGGTGCAAACATGTCTGCCTATGTCCTCTGCCTTAGCTGGATCTGTAGTGAGAACAGATGCTTTTTCGAATGCGTTGTGGGAAAGCTAGGCTGTACGTCGAGAGTTAGTCCTTGACTTTTGACTCTTCACACACCCTCACATCTAAGAAATAATGATGAAATTCTGTCAAGTCTACTTTTCTAATATTTTCCAAATCTAGCCACTTCTCTTCATTCCCCCTCTCTCACTTCTCTAGTTAAGGCTGCCCTTTCCTAGGTCCTTCCAATGTGTCCCTATATTCAGTCTCTCTTTCTTCACATCCATCCTCTACACTGCAGCCAGAGTGACCTTTTTAAGGTACCAATATGATAACGTCACTTCTTTACTTAAATCTTTTCATAGAACATGTCAAGGCTGACACCTGACATGTCATGGTGTCTGTATGTCAATTCAAATTCCTTATTATGACTATATTAGTTTCCCAGGGCTGATGTAACAGATTACCACAAACTTCATGACTTAAAACCATGGAAGTTTATTCTTTTACAGTTCTGGAGGCTAGAAGTCCAAAATCAAGATGTTGGCACAGCCATGCTTCCTCTGAAATCTCTTGGGAAGAATACTTCCTCACCTTTTTCTAGATTCTGATGACTCCTGGCAATCTTTGGCATTCCTTGGCTTGAGCTGCATCATTCCAAACTCTGCCTTCATCTTCACATGGCCTTCTTTTCTGTGGGTCTGAGTCCTCTCCTCTTCTTATAAGGACACCAGTCACTGGTTTCAGGGCCCACCCTAAATCCAGAATGATTTCATCTGAGATCCTTAACTAATTACATCAGCAAAGACCCTATTTCTAAATAACCTCACATTCTGAGGTTCCAGGTAAATATGAATTTGTGGGGGAATACTCCTCAACCCACTACAATGGCCTACAGGTGTCTTTTATGATGATATGACACAGTGTCTACTCATCTCTCCCGCCACATCTCTTATCATTCTCCAGCTCTCATATAATCTCTAGTCATAGTAAGCCCCTTGCGATTCTGGAACCACGAGATGCTCTTTCTTACTTCTGGACTTTTGCATTTCCTGCCCACTTCTGTTTGGAATCCTTGCAGTCTACCTTTGCCTGGGTCTTACTATTTTTCAGATTCAGCTGCTCTAGGAAGTCTTCCCAAATCTCACCCATCATTGCCATAGGCTCTCCTTACCCCCAAATTCCCATTTTACCTTCCATTTACCTCAGTCATAGCGTGTGTCCCACTATTTAGTAATTTTAATTGTCTCACTTCTCCTGTAGGTCTCTTTTCTCAATTCTTTGCCACCAAAACAATCAGTAAGGGACCAATCATTTCTTGTTTTCTTTTCATTTGCTTTTGTATTCTCACTGCCTAACACAGTGCCTAATAGGCACTCTACAAGTGATTATAGAATGAATGAATGAATGTCTTTGAAAAGTGGTTCACATATGGTAAGAATTTCTAGGTGTTAAAGCTGATATGCAATAGCATCTGTGGCGGTTTCTTTATTCAGATTTGTCCTTTAGAGAGAATAATAACTTCGTCTGAGAAAATTGAGGGAAGCGCTCCATGAATATTGAATATTATATTAGGCAGTATTAAATTACCCCATTTAGTTTTGGTGTTGCATGTGTTGAAAACCCACTTTGATCTGACCATAGCTCTATTCATTCTGATTATCCTTAGATCAAATAATGTAAGATTCTCAATTACAGTCAAATTTGAATGATAGAATTACCATATGAATGGGTTTGAATTCCATATTAATATTAACCTTAAAAAAATTATGTGAGTTTTTTCTAAAGAGAATAAAAGCCTCTATTGAAATTGGAAAATGTGTATACCTACAAGTGAAAGAACTTGAAATAGAGCCTTAAAGAAAAGAGAAAAGTTAAAGTAGGTAGTATTGATTACTTTCAGGTAACTCACCACTCTCATCACCAATAGAATTTAAATTATACAAGCACTTTGAATAAAATGAGGACAAATGTTATTAAGAAGATCACATTCCTTTTAGTTAGTCATTTTTGGAATAAAAGGTTCCCACGATTCTTGAATGTTTTCCTTTTTGGTTGATATAGCATCAAGGATTATATAAGTGTGTAGCAGGCATATATACTTATATATGAGTTGTCTGAACTAAAAGAGCCTACAAGCTAGTTGTGGTGAAGGACATCAACAAGTAGGACATCAACAGTGGGGACAGTTTCTGGAGGCCCTTGGCCTCCTTATGAACCCTGAGACCCAGTCATGGGTAAGTTCTTGTAGCTGTGTTTAAGGGAGTTGTAATGACCTGCCAAAGGGCAGCTGGGGAGACCAATGGGATGTGGTGAGGCACTCCAGACTAACACAAATGCAAGCTCCCAAGAAGCATCAAGAACAAAATAAAGGTGGAGAAACTGAGCTGCGATGAGACCAAGAAAGGGGAGTTCATGATGGTCACCTGGTTTTCAGATTGTGCTCTGGGAACCTACTCAGCAACATGGAAGAGCATGACTTGTAGAGAAAAAGAACTACCCTTTTCCTTCACTTTTCTGCCCTTCCTCTCATCTTTCTCTGTATCTCCGTCTCTATCCTCTTTCTTTCTCTTCTCTCTAACTCACACACTCTTTGTTCCTCTCTGGATTACTGGAAAATAGAAATAAAAGCAAAGACAAATCCCTGCTCTTCACATAACCTTTCCCTGTTGCCTATCTCCCTGTGAACAAAGGCCATAGCTGGAAAGAACTAGATATTCTCTTATAACCTTCATTTCTGAAAATCTATTCATTCAGTGTGTTTTTTGTCATTCATTCATTTGTTCATCATTCAACATTCGATATTTATTGAGCCTCTAATGTTTTAGGTATATAATTTGTCTTCCAGATCAATTATTTTCAATCCCTTTCTTTTTAAGTCATGCAAACTTTTTTTCCAGTAAAAGATTGCTGATGTTCAATATGGAAAACATGAAAACTGCACTGAATGAACTGGGGGTGGGGAGGGACACAGAACTTGGCCAACTCCTACCCTGCCCTATTCTGCAGCCCCTGAAGGATGCTATGTGGAGCATAGCACACACACCACTGTTCTATAATGAACACACTCTCATACGTTGCATTGGAAATGTGAATTAGTACAACAACTTTGAAAAGTCTGACACATAAAGTGAAAGATACGCCCACCCAGTTCTACCCCAGGGTATACACCTAAGACTGAAACTCACACATATGGGAACCATGGGACATGTCAAGAGTAAGCACAGGGCTCCCCGGTGGCGCAGTGGTTGAGAGTCCGCCTGCCGATGCAGGGGATGCGGGTTCGTGCCCCGGTCCGGGAAGATCCCACATGCCGCGGAGCGGCTGGGCCCGTGAGCCATGGCCGCTGAGCCTGCGCGTCCAGAACCTGTGCTCCGCAACGGGAGAGGCCACAACAGTGAGAGGCCCACGTACCGCAAAAAAAAAAAAAAAGAGTAAGAACAGTTCATAAGAGCCTCAAAATGGACCCAGTTTTAATTTCCATCAACAGTAGAATGGGACTTCCCTGGTGGTGCAGTAGTTAAGAATCCGCCTGCCAATGCAGGGGACATGGGTTTGAGCCCTGGTCTAGGAAGATCCCACATGC